CTTCAACGTTCCGTCCATTAACTGAAAACAGGCTAGACTAATCGATTCTTGGGATTTAAGAATCGATATCGTTCCGTAAAAATGAGAATCGATTAAAATCGAGATATCGATATTTTTTACCCTACACCGGAGACAGGGTCAACCCAGCGGTTAGGTAGAAAAAAATAACCCAGCGTTAAAATGACCCAGCACCTGGGTAAAAATATTAAAAATAAAAGAACACAACAGGCTGAACCCAGCATCTTTTAGAGTGTATGTTATCGTGTTTTATTGTGTTAGCTAGCTGTATTTTTAGTTATTTTTTTAACCTAATCAAAATAACCCAACTGCAGTTTGATTGAGATTAATCGGAATGCACAATAAAAAATCAATTATCTGTTTTTGCAAATGAACTCTTCGTATATATTTAGCATGTATTTAGCATGTCTTTTGGCTGGGTCTGTGCGGTGAATAATTGACGGGTTGTTTCGTAACGCTGCTGAAGGAGCTGGAATCTGCTCTTATCTCAGTATGTGAGGCCGGACTGGTGGTTTTTGAGTGGCTCTGGTGAATTTAAACTTCCTCGATACGATCTGAGACTGTTTCTGAGCTCAGTGTTATGAATAGAGGTCACAATCCAGTTTAAGCATGCCATTTTTACTTGCTTAAACTTGCATTTACATTTTTTTAAATATTAGAGTATATTACAATTATATTAGAATGATTCTGAAGATCATGTGACACTGAAGACTGGAGGAATGATGCTGAAAATACAGCTGCACATCACAGAAATAAATTACAGTTTAACAGATATTCACACAGAAAACAGCTATTTTAAATAGTAAAATATTATTTCAAAATTTGATTAAATAATATTTTATATTAAATATGATTAAATATTTAGCCTATGTTATATGTTTGGTCCAAGGGATTCTGTATTTGCCACATGCAAGCATTGTCACATTCTTTACTTGCATAAAAAATTAATATTTAATATAAATATTTATATAAATATAAATATGATGACATTTTTACAGTAACTTTGATCTAAATAAATAATATAATAATATAAATAAAAAAATTGAATGTTGTTGTTGTTGTTGTTTTGGAGCTGTTTTCGGCTCTCACGAGGCGACTGGTTTTTCCATCAGCTCTCGTCTCAGTTGGACCGAAGGCTGTGAATGAATCTCGTTCCAGTTTTCTCAGTCACACCTCTAACGAGTCGTGTTGGATCTGGTTTCCCGCTGGACTTTCCTGCTCCTGGAGCGGATCTAGACCTCACAGAGAGCCGAGTCTGGTTGCTGTTTTTGGTGATAACGATGAAGCACACACTGATATTTAGAGGTGTTACAGATGAAACCTGAGTCGTATCTGGAGACGGGGGCAATAAGGTTAAGTACCACATAAATATTAAGTCTTTTCATTTCTTTTATTTTAATCTTATTTATGTTTTTTAAATCATATTTGTCATATTATTTTTAATTTTATTTACATCTTGTATTAAAAATACTGATAGTTTTAAAACTTTTATTTTTCTTATTTTATTTTGTTTAATATTTCTAGTAATTGTTTTTTCTTTCTTATCTTATCTTATCTTATTTATTTTTATATTATCTTTCAGTTGTATTGAAAATACTGGCAGTTGTATATTTATTCTTATTTTATTTTGTTCATCATTTTTCTTCTGGTTTATATAATTAGATTTTAAAAAAATCTTATTTTATCTTGTAAAATGTATTGAAAAAAATAAATGTTATTTTTCTTATTTTATTTTGTTTCATACTTTGTGTTCTATTTAATATATTTTTAAATGTTATTTAATGCATTGAAAATACTGGAAAATAAGGTTTTATTTATTTTTCTTTTATCATGTTTGTTTATATATAATATAAATAAAAAAAATAGTATTTTATTTTTCTTTTATTTGTCATGTTTTATATATATATAAAAATGTATTATATTTTATTTGGTCTTATTTTTATCATTTTATTATGATCTTTTATATCTTTAATTATTCTTTTATGATCTTTTTTCATTTTAGGGGTTTTAGTGAGATTCGGCATCCGTCTGAAGCTCTGATGTTACACATGCGCACTGATAATCTGTTTATTCCTCTGAGAGTCGAACTGAAGGAGTTTTCATTCAATCCTGTGCTCTTATGTAATTCACTGCAACTGTTTGCACACTTAAAGTCAACATGAGGGCAATATTGACTCTGTCTCGACTCTAACTTCACTATTTACTCAATTCAGCCGTAATTCATGTTTCTGCTCGCAAGCAATTTGTCCGAGTCTCAATATTTGTAGTCCACAAGGTTTAGTGCAAACTAGATTAATGACCAAACTAGAGCAGCGGCAGATGGGTTTATTTGGTTGCTTGTGCAGATTTATATTATATTATTTTATTTCTTTTTTTTTTGACAAATTTTTTTTTAATGAGTTACCTGTATTTACAAATAAACAATTCATATATTTGTGAGTGTGTGTGAGTGAGAGTGTGTGTGTGTGTGTGTGTGTATATTATTTTATTTCTTTTTTTTTTGACAATTTTTTTTTTAATGAGTTACCTGTATTTACAAATAAACAATTCATATATTTGTGAGTGTGTGTGTGTGAGAGAGTGAGAGTGTGTGTGTGTGTGTGTGTGTG